TTTGTCAGTCGTAATTATGCATCGATTTCTTTTCGTTTTCTGCTTTGAAGCCTGTTTTGGAGCCTGCGCCGCATCGCGCTGTTATTCCTTTCCCTTTTCTGAATTGAAACCCTGTCTCTTATACACATCTAGATGTGTATAAGAGACAGTGCTTGGGCCGGCTCGGTGGGGAGGTGGTGGGTAGGTGCTTCGGCCGGCTCGGTGGGGAGGTGCTTCGGCCGGCACGGTGGGGAGGTGCGAAGGGGGGGGGGGGTGTTGTAGCTCTTTTCCGCATGTACTGTCAGACTGGTGCGAGCTCCCGAATTTCCAGGGAGCTCTGAGGCTGTTCTCTACTCTTTCTCGGTGGCGATGATAATGGTCTTCGAATCGTTGAAGATTCGTTGCTGTTTACTATTCTGTTTGTGACCATGTATGACCTTGCTGTTTGTGACTGTTGCTGCTTACTATTCTGCTTTCCACAAACACTTAGAAAGACAGAAGACGCCAAGAGCTAAATCAGTGATACAGAAAGCACCAGCCATACACTAACAAAGGAAACATAGAGTCAGAGACAGAAAGAGCGAAGTGAGATTCTTCATTGGGGTTGCTTCCTAACTTTTTTCGGGGGCGGAGCTGCGCTGGCTGCACCTGCTTGTGAAATATCAAATTTGTTTCGGCCCCCGTGGAAGCCATGGCGCTGTTTCCTGGGCCCGAAAGCCATGGCGCTGTTTCCTGGGATTCTAATCTCCGAGGCGTACCTGCAAGACTACGATCACAAGCGAAAAACGGCCCCGTCGTGCCCATTCTTTTCTCGTTTTTGTTGTCCTGCAGAATGAAATATCAAATTTGTTTTCCCGTGGGAGCCATTCTTTGCCCGGAAAAAAGAACTCTTTGGGGCCCTGAACAGATCTTTTCTAAGGGGACCTGATAACGAAGGAAGACTCCCCCCTTTTTGTTTCATTGGTGGGTGGGCCTGGAGACCAGTGCTCCGCGAGGGTATGATGTGCATGTGTCCTGACCAGCTGCGACCTGGTGAATGATGTGTGCTATGTATGTTATGGAGAGCTCTTTCACCTCAACTAGGGGCTCTCTGTCATGGAATCCTAGTTTGTCAAACTTCATTTTGCGTCTACCCTGGCCTTCCCACACTCAATGGTCGGGCCTACTGGATCTCAGCCATGAAGGGCAACCGTATGCACTCGGTTCGCAACTTGGCAGCAATAAGGCTTTCCACAGGCTTTTTCCTTCAGCGCAGTGGAATGATGTTCTCAGACTCATTTGTGAAAGGAGATGATAAAAATTACCGAAGTTGCACCTCCTCGGTATTGCCCTTGCACTTGTGGGCTGAACGTGACTATGGCCCTGCGGGCTGAACGTGACTATGGCCTTCTTGTGTTCCAGTGACCGTGTCACTGTGCCGGCAGTGTACTACTCATTGTTATAAGCAATTTTTGCGAGAGGTTTTTGGCATATGTGCTGCATTCTCACTGTTTCACAATGCCGATTCTTTGTTGTGTATGACCTGCAGATGGTAATCCAGTATGCTAACCAGGCAGTGGAACTGCTTGCAAGCACTGGATCTGGCTCAGATACCTCAACTGCTCTGCGACTTGCAGATGCTGCATTGGCCGTTGCTCCTTATTCTGAGCGTTTGCTTGAAATAAAGGCGCGCGCACTGTTAAGGGTAAGCCGATCTTGTGTAAATAGTAAATAACATGTTTTGGTTCTGGAAGACGAGCTGTCAGCATACTGCCCATGTCAGACTGCGTGATGCAGCCAAGGATTAAGAATCACTACGAATGTTGATATCTCTAAATGTGTCTGCTTGCTTGCTAGTAGCCTTGTGAGGTTCCCTATGTAAGGACTTTATGGTTGCACAGGTTTCATATGAGAATGTAAATACCAAGTACCCAGCAATGAAGTTCTTTTTCACAATATGGGAAGTAGCCAGCAATGAAGTTCCTTTCACAATATGGGTAGGTTTCATATCAGGATGTACATACCAAGTGCTAAGTATTCAACTTTTCTTTTTCACAATGTGGGTAGGTTTCAGAAACTTTCCATGTACTTGCCTGGAGCAGTAGGGTCCACACATATAAATACTTTTAGATTGCGACTCCCTTTTTCTGCCTGCTGTGGTTGGACTCTACTTTTGTGACTGTGTGATGAATGGCTTATCTGACCGCCACAGACTTTTTCTTCCATTTGCGGGGAATTTGAGTTTTGCGGGAGGTAGTGGCCACTTGAAGCAAGTGGACATTGCCCCGATGACCACTCCCGTTTAGGTTGTTCTCGTACAGGCTACCCTATCCTTATTTGTTGTGAGCAGGTGGGAGTGCCTGTAATGCTGTAAACCAGTTTCCAGTCACAAGGGATCATGAACCGAGATCATTTCTCTCAGAAGAAAAAACGCCGCTTTAAGAACGTATGATCATGTCCTCTCTGATCGTCAATTCTGCAAAAGGAACCCTTGCCGTTGTGACATGACAAATGTAGTGTTGGAAAGGGACTTCAGACCCGTCCCAGAACGTGAATGTAGCTGTTGTATGTTATGCACCTGAACCTCGAGCAGACGATTCGCGTCTGATTTATTGGACGAAAAACAGAAACACTTTTTTCAAGTTCATAGTTAGCAGATGCTTGCAATATCGGGTGTCTGGTTCTGCGTGTCCGACCCCATAACGTGGGGTGAAATCATTATGTCCCTCCACAAATGTGGTTACTCGTTTGCAATGGTGGACAAACAGTGTTTCGAAGGTCAACTCACAAAAGCCACTACACAATCTTGCCCTTTGGCATGGGCCAGTAGGTTTCTTTACCATCGATCATACCTTGTCATAGGGTTGCTTTTGATGCTTCCTCATGATTTTTAATGGGCACTAGATGACTTGCCCAAAAAACATTGGCTTCACCTCTTCTAGGATGGATTGAATTTCCTTGAACCTGGTGGGAATGTCGGATTCCCCTCCATGTCTGGAACTTCTCCCTGGTTCCGGACATGACAGTTCCACAAACCATGTGTTTATCTGCGCTGCGGTCGCTGATCAAACCATATGTAAATTGACATTTCTGTCCTTGAATCCCCGATTTGCGTGTGCCTGTTGGGGTCCGCTTCTACTTCTCCAGATCTTAGTCTCACTTGCCTTGTTCTAGGTTCTTTCCTCTTTATCTCGCCTCGTTGGTTTGCATGTGCCTGTTGGGGTCGGCTTCCACTTCTCCAGATCTTAGTCTCACTTGCCTTGTTATAGGTTCTTTTCTTTTTATCTCGGCGTCGTTGGTGCTAGCGGCGAACGGCCCGGATCGACACTGGAATGTAAGAAATGTGCGATCTGGGTTGTCAGACCCTTCCGGACCAACGGGCCAGGTCGACATGATCGTCTAAAGAATGTAACAAATCTGCGATCCGAGCCGTCGGGACCTGCTGAATCGATGGCCTGAATTGATGCGGTGTTCTGATCTTAAGAACACGTCGATCCTAACGGACCATCCGGTAGGGCCCGGCGGCCCAGATCGTGTCTTTGAGAGACTGGGTCCCGCAGCCTGGGTCCCACAGCCAGTCCGAACGCTGCAGTGCGCAACTTCCCGTTGAAGGTGAAATCTCTCTCTCTCTCTCTCTCTCTCACAGAGATATCGAGGCCAAGAACACAGCTCAGATTCAAACTTGCTTCCATTAGCTACTCTCTCTCTCTCTCTCTCTCTCTCAGATATCGAGGCCAAGAACACAGCTCAGATTCAAACTTGCTTCCATTAGCTACTCTCTCTCTCTCTCTCTCTCTGAGATATCGAGGCCAAGAACACAGCTCAGATTCAAACTTGCTTCTGATAGCTATGGCGCCTGTGCGCCCACACAACACCCAGCCGACATTGTGTCCCCAGGAACTGTTCACACGCACGCTAATCTGGATCTCCCTGGATGTCCCCCACACACACCCACTTCACACCACTCTGCCTTCTTCCTCCTGGCTACTAGCGGCTATGGCCGCTTCGTCTCCCTCGCAGCGCACTTCTCCTTGGGGCTCCTCCAGACCCCCAGCGCTTCCGCACGGCTCACAGGCAGAATGAATAAATGACTGGACGCTGCCGCTTGATTTATACTCCGGATGGTCACTGGTCTGTGCCCCTTTTCACCGTGCCCAGGGTGCACACAGTCCCACATGGTACTTGCTGACTGGACAAAGTGCGACTGGGACTGGGTACCACTGACTAGGCGAGGTTGGACTCGCCACTTGCCCACTTGCCTACAGAAAAGACTACACAAAGGGTCAGTTCCGGACCTTCCGGAAGTCTGTAGACTTGATCCTTCGGTACTGTAGCAGCTATGATTTGACCTTTCAACACTGTAGCAGCTACTACTTCTGCCCCTACTAAGATTCCTAACCGACAGATCTACAGTTCGAGACCCGACGAGCACACTAACCTGCGACAGACAACAAGCGACTACCAGGACACGGTTTGCGGGTTCAAACACACACAGGGCAACTAACACTGTACACGGGTAACGGCGAGATCCAGGGATCGAGCCCGGGCTCCGGTCTCTCTCTCTCTCTCTCTCTCTCTCTCTCTCTCTCTCTCTCTCTCTCTCTTCCCAGCACCAGCGCACCCCCCTCTGCCAGCACCCGGCACCCCGCTCCACAAACGCTCCCTCCGTTGCCAGCACCAGTGCACGAGCACTCCCCCAACTGTCCATGCCCCACTTCGCCCGACCTCCGCAAGCGCTCCCTCTTCTGCCGCAAGCGTCAGTGCTCACCACTCCGCAGCGCTCCGGCAGTGCACCCTCCACCAGCGCTCCCCCCTTCACGCTGCACACCTCCCTTCCTCCTCTCTGCCCTTCACGCTGCACACCTCCCTTCCTCCTCTCTCCCCTCCGCCCCGCTCAACTCTCTCTCTCATCTCTCTTTCTCTCTCTCCCCTCCGACTTCCACTCTGCCCACGCTCCATCTCCGACTTCCGCTCCAGCTCCGAAGCCCCTCTCCTCCGCCGCCGCTTCTCCCCCTGCATTGACCCACTCCTCTCCTCTGCACGGCTCCTTTTTTAAGAAAAACGTCTCTCTCTCTCTCTCTCTCTCTCTCTCTC